GCCTCTCACAAGAGGCTGCGATCCGGTTAGGAGAGCAGCCAGGGGCCTCCCTTTTCCCGATCCCTGCCCCTTTCATCTTTCTAACAGGGATTTCACACTTCTCTCGGGTTGGAGTAGCAGGAGGACTAGGAGGAAAGCAGAGCAGGAAGGTTCTTACTAGTCTGGTAGTCCCGTGAAGATTTAGTGTCAGAGTTCTCTGGCCTTGACAGGTATTTCAAGTTGTGTCTCCAGTTGGTTTTTCAAGACACCGCAGGGTAGGGCTTCTCTCACCTGCATTTCCCTGTCGACAGATGGATACATCTTAATATGGCTGATCACTCTGTCTTCCCTCAGCCTGTGGGAGTCTGGCACCAACTCCAGCCTTTTTGTTCATCTGGTCACCCATCCAGGTGACGCTTTTAGAAAGGACACAAGATACCCTCATGCCTGCTTTCTCTTGCGGGTACCAGTCCACGTCCCCTCCAGGGGAACCACTGACACTTTCCTTGCCCGTGAAGATTTGGAAAGGCCAGGCGGGAGAACATCCAGCACACAGACCACTCAGTACAAAACAACCCTCTCCTTGCATCCCTACTTCGCATTTTTAATGTACTTTTTGGTTTATGTAAGCAGTTGAAGAGTCACTGATCAGATTTTGACAACCTCCCTTGCAAATTTTGCAAAGGAAGCGCTCATACCTCACTTTAAAATACCTCACTGATAGCAATGTCTCAGGTGCGTTAGCTGAAACTTCCATTCTTTTACAGTTATGCCTGCCTTGCAACGTTAGAATGACCCATTTCTCATCATATCTTTGGTCTATATTTGCCATGTCACTGTGACCAGTAGCCTTTGCCTCCCCTCATTTCATTATCTAAGAGAAAGTCAATATGAGTTTTTGTGTAACTTAGAGTACTTACTTTCATAATCTGGAAAATGGGCATTGTAGGAGTTTCCTCAGGCTGCTGTGACAAAATACCACAAACGAGGTGGGGTGGGGAACTGGGGGAAGGGGTAAGCAATAGCAATTTATATGTCACAGCCCTGGAGGCTAAAGTGTGAAATCAAAGTGTCAGCAGGGCCACATCCCTCCAAAGGCTCTGAGACAGAATCTGTTCTAAGTCTCTCTCTTAGCTTCTGGGGGTTACTGGCAATCTTTGGCTTGTGGCTACCTTACTTCAATTTCTGCCTCTGTGTTCACATGATGATGTCCCTGTACGTCTGTGTGTCTCCATGGCCTTCTGATAAGGGCATCACTCATCGGATTTAGGGACCACTCTAACCCAATATGCTGTTATTGTAACCTGAATATGTCCGCAAAGACCCTATGTCCAAATAAGGTCATGTTTACAGGTTCTGGGTGGACATGGATTTGGGGGGACATTATATAATCCAGTACCAGTACTGTAATATTTCCTGTAGAAAGGTTCAATATCAGTGCATATATGATGTGGCATTTTCCCCCCAATAATGCTTTGGTTTTTCTTTAATGGAGGGATTGCATTAATTTCGGAAAGGCCTATAGAAATAATATCTCTGGGTTTCACTGCATAGAAATAGTCAGATTCATGCAGGAATATGACAAAGGAGGCATACAAACAGCTTAATAAGCATGGGTATGTATCGTGTGGGAGAATCGACGCAAGCTAATAACAGCTACCCTTGACATGAGCGAGCGGATGCTTTTTCCACAGCTGAATTGTGAGCAGGATGATGTAGTATTTGTTGATTTTGCCATGTGACTTGTGAAAACAAAAGAGGTACAAAGAAGACAAATGACATTGTAATTCTGAGTGGTTTGACTATAACTACACATACTAAAGTTATCATAGCACTAGGAGTAATGTGTTGTTCTATATAATCATCCATTTTTAAGCCTCTGCAACATTTTAGAAATTTTTCCTGGGCGTATTCTTCCCCCTGTAACTGGATTTTCCTTTCTCCAAAAGTTGAAGCTGTTGCTTGGAACCTTGCTCAAATAATGACATTACAGCAGGCATGCCCCTGAAAGCAACTTCATGAGATCTATTAAAACTGGGTTGTTGTTGTTGTTGTTTTAACACAAACTTCAAATACAGTTTCTTCATGATTTATCAACTAAAATCTATCCCGAGAGAGTGTGGCCCTTTAGCAAGGTGCAATGACTAGTGAATGCTTATATCTATTCCATTTACTATCCATTTATTTTTTTCTAGTCTTGAGTAACTTCTTCCTCGGACCTCTGATTTTGCTTGGCCAAGAGTGCCTTCTGGAAATTCACATATTTACCCATCCTGGCTAAGTTCACAACCCTTGTGATGCAACCTTAGAGACTTCGAGTGACTTTATTCAACAGCAGGTATTTCTTACTCAGAATGGTTTTAGACATTTTTTATGACTACTTTTACCACTATTTTATGTGTAACTTCTTTTCCGAACATGGCAAACGCCACCAGGTACCTGCCTACCTTTGCAGGTGCAAATGGGATGGGGTCAGTGGACACTCATCCATTCCTTCTGGGCAAACAATTTATGCCAAATTTAAACCTTCCTTTGGATAATTGTTTTCCTTATGCCTTACTGTGTTACTGCATCTTTATTGCAATTTGTATTGTATTTTCTTTGTAAGACATTTGGAGTCTTGTGGAAGTGTTGGGTATGTAAATAATGGAAACAACACCCACAACATTTCTTAGCTCCTGTGGGTGCTGCTACACTTCTTCCTGTTTTCTTTCTTTGCCTTCTTCTTCTTTTTTAAATCACCATAAGAATAGTTCTTTGGAATTGAGATGATGCAACAGTCTTAAAGACACAGCCCGTGCTCTATTACTAATTAATGGAGAGTACTGTTTTTTGAAAAAAAAAATTTTTTTTGGAAGATTTTATTTATTTATTTGACACAGAGAGAGACACAGCGAGAGAGGGAACACGAGCAGGGGGAGTGGGAGAGGGAGAAGCAGGCTTCCCGCCGAGCAGGGAGCCCGATGTCGGGCTCGAGCCCAGGACTCTGGGATCATGACCTGAGCCGAAGGCAGTCGCTCAACCGACTGAGCCACCCAGGAGCTCTGTAACTGACAGCCAACAGGATTGTTTTGAACTTCATGACATTTTGTGCTGGTTTAAAACACGGTAGCAGGTGTGATACGCATTGTATAATGTTCCACCATAAACTGAGCATGGCAGGAGGTATAATACCCTCAAAGTAAAATGGTGATATGGGGGTGCCTGAGTGGCTCAGTTGGTTGGGCGACTGCCTTTGGCTCAGGTCATGATCCTGGAGTCCC